GAGGGCGGCACCGATGCACCGAGCCGCGCACCTACGGGCCCCGCCCCCCCTGCCCCACCTCAACCAAGAAAGACGGAGGAGGACTGTGGCCAGCAGCTCGCCAAGGCGGAAAGGGGAAGCTGTGAAGGCGAGTCAAGCCAGGACCCGAAGGACCAGGTCTGCTATGGGAACCCGCGCCCTGGACCCGAGGCGGCGGGAGCCAGCGGTGACAACCCCCGGCCCAGGAGAACCCCTGCGAGCATCTCGGGGCAGACGGCCAGGAACTCTCCCTGGATGACCAGTAGAGCGTCGAGAGCGAGGTGGAGCGCCACCCGGGGGACCAGCGGCGCTTCGGGGAGCTGCATTCTTGATCAGCGGCGGTAGGGGCCCGTCTGTCCAACCCCCAGAGCAAGCATTACAAGCATTGCGAGAGGCGCGGCCAGGAGAGTGCGCTTCGGGGGGCGGTCAGGACCAACCCAGGGGACAAGGTGAGTTTCGGGGACCTGGGTCCTGAACCTGAGGGGTGGGGGCTCGCGCAAACACCCCCCGGAGCACCCCCGCGCAAGCAGCATGACATGTCGTAGCCCGCCCAAATGCTGGACACTGTGCAGCGAGCGCGGTTGGTGCGCCTGGAAGACAAGACTTCAGCATGGTACGGGGTGGAAGCTTAGGAACGTCGATCCGTTGACAGGACGGTGACAGTTTGCCGCTCACAGCAAACCCATGTGCGTCCTAACAGAAACCTTGCACTTGCCACGCAGCCCAACCCGCAATTGTTCGATGAGCTTCTATATGTGGCTGGTTCATCAAACGCGATTGGCAACGCTCCAGCACGAACAGCTGCCCTTTCAAGATCGACGTCGAGGTGCCCCTGCTTCCGAAGAGCACTGTTGTTTCTTACCCCAAAGAGTTGCGGCCGATTGCTTTGATCCGGGTGCTTCGGAACCTCCTCGGCGACCTGGCCCTGGCGCGGACGCAGGGGCTCTTGAAGGACACCAGCACATGGCAATGTGCTTACAAAGCGGTGCATCAAGTGAGTGATATTACATTGTTAATCAGAGTACTTGGTCAGAAAAGCATGGAGTGGCGGATTCGATTTATCTTGGGGGTCACCGACATACCCAAGTGCTTCGACGAAGTCGGCCATTCTTTCCTGCTCGAGGCGCTCTTGAAGAAGGGCGTAGATCGCGCCATTGCGGCGTGGTTCGTTCGTGAAGCGCGCAGCTCCTCACTTCATCTTCGGCTGGGCGGAGTTGACGTGGCACCCATTCACATTAGCAGGGGGCTCCCACAGGGATCCAGATACGGCCAGGCATTACGCGCAGCTGTATTTCATTACTGCCTCGAGCCAGTGTGGCAGTCGTGCCGTCGTGACAACTTGGGCTACCGGCTGGATGACCAATATTTCCCCTGCGTGTTGTTCTGTGACAATATCTTCATGTTTGCACACAGCGCCGGCGAGTTCCTTGAGATCCACTCGAGATTGCAAAATGCCCTCGACATGGGTGGTTGGCGTCTCCCTGATGACCGCCTCGCTTGCCAGACGAACAGCCACGTCGGGGCCGAGCAGTCAACGCAACTCAAGGATTACTCGGAGAAGCCACCACGCACGTCCTTCAAGACCTTGGGTTCCATGATCAATGCATCAGGCACTTGTCACGCCGACATCGCCGGCCAGCGCCGCGGAAGTTGTTCGGCCATAGAGAAGCAACGCTCGCTGTGGAACTGTCCGAGAGCATTGCGGGTTAAGAAAGTGGCACTGATGTACAAGGTGGCAACCTCGAGTTATTCCTGGTGCGCGGGAGCGTGGACTATAAACCAGCGCGGACTGACTTGCCTGAAAACAGTTTTCACGAGGTCGGCAAAGCCTGCCCTGCGGGCGCCCCGATTGTGGCGCGACACCGACGAGGCGTACCACCGCGGCTCCAACCGCATCCTCCGGGAGACGATGGCCACGGCAGGGTTGGCTGACATCGACGTTTTCGTCTTGAGCAGGATGTGCGAGCACGCGGGCCACCTCATCCGGGCCATCAGCCGGGGCCCAGGGCATTTGGTCGGCGCCGTCATCAGGCATAGGAATTCGGAGTGGAAGCGTATCATGACAGCTACGATTGGTCATCAGGGCCACCCGGTGAGATTCGCCCCGTGGCGTTGGGAAAGGCAGTGCGACGCTTATTTTGCTGCGCGAGAGATGTCCTGGAAGGGCGCGGCCTTGGACCGCGACGCCTGGCAGGCGCGCCGTTCTTCTTGGATCGCGCACATCATGGGGCGCAAGCAGAAAAGAGCCAATTTTGGGAATCTCTGAATGTATACGTCAAATGCATCAAGGTGGTTTGAATGGTCATTCTGTCAGGTGGTGTACTGTTTCTTCTTTTACCTGTTGAACGTGTTCTTCTGAGCAGAGCCTTTAGTGAAGCAGCGGTAGGAGTCTTGTGCTCACGCAGGGCGCATCCAGTCCAGTTCAGCCCTGTCCAGCCAGAGCGCGCACTCGGTCTCATCGGGGACAGAGGCCGGCGGCAGACGGGATAGAACAATCGGTTGCCATTACTTGCAACGAGGAACAGCAGGATCAAATATACGACGCCCTGCTCTCCTGAGATCACTTGATCTGCCGACATACCCCTCGCCCCGAGTCTTCCCTGTCCCAGATCCCACCCCCGCTCCTCTGACCAACCTTCTCGTCTCCATCTCTCGCCAGACTGGCGCGGGCAAGGGTTGGGATCACGAATCCAATGCCGCGAGCTGGCTTCCATGCTTTCAATTACGCGGCATGCGCGAATGCCAGAGACGGAGATTCCAAGGCAGGATAAATCGCCCCCAAGGGTGAGTTGGCACCAGTAGTTATCCAGTCCTGGAAGAGCCACAAGCTGGAGAGAAAGTGTGCTGATCAGTTCGGTGCCGAGACCCTCGCCATCCCCGAGGGCCTGGCCATGGCGGAGCTCAGTCGGACTACGCTGCTCGCGATTGTGGCTCCCCAGTTCGACCTGATGAGGCCGCGCCTCTTGACAGGGCAGGTTCCCGCGGCTAACGCCCCCGGTTCAAGAGGCGGCCGCGACCGCGTGGCCAGCCCCAAGGCTGGCCTGGCCGAGGACAAGAGGGCCCCGATCGACGTGGCCATCGTGCGTCCAGCCATGCAGCGACCTCAAGTACACCTTCGCTGGAACGACGGTACCAGTCAGCTCACGGACCCCCTCAGCAAGCGCAAGGGAGAGAGCGCCGTACGTCGGCATGTTCTAGAACTTGGTGAGTAAGGCATCATCTGCCACAGCGTTGTGCTACGACGGCGGGATGAGGATCGCACACGGGGGAAAGCAGTGACCACATACGCTTGCTCGGTGCTATGCTGCCTCACGGGCCTGGACCTCTACGAGATGGACCGCGCGGGTGGCCCGCGGCACGACTAGGACAACGACGACCATACCTATGAGCCTGAGGCGCATCGGTGGATTCGCGAGGCACAGGAGGGCAACATGACCCAAACTACGATATATCTTCCAGGGAATCCGAGGAGTTTAACAGGTTCAGAGCACTAGACCGCGACCAGTGTGAATCGTTAAGTGTGGCGAGTGATTTCTGTGGTCTCTCAGCTTAGCTTAGAACCCTTTGCCTTTGTCTTAATCCATCGAGGCTTCAGGGAAGAGGGCCTGGCGGCCCCATTCCACGAATGCAGTTGATGTATTAAAGAGCGCTTGCAATCTTACCCCTCCCTCTCGCATGACCTGGCATCCCTCTTTGTTCCAGAGCCCACCCGCAGAAAGGGGAAGAGGCATGAGGAGAAGGGAGGAGGAGGAGGAATAGGAGGAGAAGGAGGACATGTAATGACCCAGGAAGGGAAGACGGAATGAGGGATCGGAGGGCGGACGAGCGATCCACAGTGGCAAAATCACTTCTGGCCTCACGCGTGCAGGACTCTTCTTCTTGGCAACCTTGTGCAACAGCTTGATCGAATGTCTAGGTGCCTTGCGTATTCGACAGCTCCTAGACATGCGCAGAAACACCGGGTGTGGTGTTGCGCATTCAAGTTCCCATGCTTTCATGGCATTGTTCGAGCAGCCCCCGCACGGCAATTCATGACGCTTCGTGTATCCCCGCAAACCCTTCTAGGAGTGGTTTAGCCTTCTATAGTTGCAACAGCACCCTGGACTCATCCCCCTCTTCTGGCAGGTTTGCGACGTTCCTCGGCAGCTCAGCTCCCCTAGCCAGCACACGTCGTTGGGACGGCTTGGGCCTGGCGCCCCACTGGCGACTCGCCCATCGGTCTTCGCGCCTGCCCCCACCCAGTTTGAAGGACACGTCGGCACCTGTGCACGTCATGTCGTCTGTGTGGGTTATGCCTCACGGCATGATCCGAATTTCTTGGCATTTTGTCAGACTGCACGTGCCCGAACTTCCCAGGATGCCCCCAGCCGTCAGCTTCCCGCACAGCCCCGCGGCTGCTTGGTGAGTGGGCCGGCCGGCTTGCGGCGCGTCTTGTAGCTAATCAGCCTTGTTCGCAGCCCCGGACATTTGTTTTCGCCGCGTGTGCTCTTCGCTCGCGGCCGCGACCAAAAAAAATGTATCCCCGCAAGCCCGTCCAAAAACAATCAACAGGCGAGTTGCTTTGGGCTACTTTGTGCAGAATTGAAAGCCACCCTGTGCTATCTGAACTTTCTTGGGGCCATCTTCGGCCATTTTGGGCGCTCCGACCTCTCGCGACCGTGCCAGTCCAGACCCAGGGAAAGGGCGAGGTAGAGGGAGAGGTTAGCCTCTCCTTGGAGGGAAACAGGAGGTTGAAATAACCAAGTCCGTAAACCACCTGCGCCCAAACGACTAATGGTATTCCCGCGCATGTCAGATCGGTGTCGCCGTGGGATGTGTTTCACGTGCGTCTGAAGCCCCTGCTGTCATCTACCTCTTCCTACTCGTGCTCCTCATCGACCCCCTCTATATTGTTCCTTTTCGCCGATCTTTGCTTCTGCTCCGACGGCTCAAGGGCGCGCCACCCTTGCCGCCCTCGTTTTTTTTCCCCACCTTGCCCCGGGATGCTGCCCAGCGATGGGTCTCCAGGCGGGCACCACCTCCCCTTCCTCCACCTCCGAAGTGCAGTATTTGGTCCAGAGCGTGAGCCTCGGTCTGGTGACTGCCCCCCCCGCGCGGCGTCGAAGCGTTTTCGACTCGATCGTTTAGGGCAACGCGAGCGGCCGATTTTACGTTATCGTTACAGTTGGTAGGTCTCTACCTAGTCGCCCGCCCGGATCAAGGCTGGCATCTTTTTTTGGTTTTTCCGAACCCTGGGATCCTCACGGATATCGGCCCAGTTCGAAACAGAACAATGCGGGCGAAGACGAAGTCGCTTGCGACTAGTTGCGAACCCTACCCCTACGGATTCGATGTTGGGGTACCAGGTATCGTGACACCGGGCACCCCTGCTGGTGTTCATTTGGCTGCAGACATCCCTCGGATTCGTAACCCCAACTGGCGTTTCAAAAATCTGACTTGCAGGGATAGGGATTCACATGTGGTTGCCTAATTCTGGAGCTCCCGTCCAAGTTTTTGGTGGGCGATGTCTGCAGACCTCCAGGGGCCTTTTGCAGACCTCCGAAACTGCAGGACAAACAGGGAACCTGAAGCGAAGATGACGGCGTCGGCGACAACGACGGCGGCGACGTTGTCGTCGTGGCCAGGTTCCGCGTCACGGGGCGTTTCAGGGTGGCCGCAGTTCTACAGGTCGCCGTCGGTGCTTGCGTGGATTTTTGTTTGAGGAAAGCCTCTTGGCGGCTGTTTTGGAGTGTCTTCAGGGCCTCTCGGGTGCCTCTTGGAGCCTTTGGGGGCCTGATTCATTGGCTTACGCCGCACCGCCGACCCCTTGGTGCGGCAGCAAGGGTGAAAGACGGAGTTCGCGGAACGCGCGCGATCGCTGTGCAATCTTGGGGTTTCGGCCTGTCCTACGTAGCGTGTGGGGTTCAAGGGGGGGCCTTGTAGGGGATTGTTCTGAAGTTTTCCATGTTCTTATGTGGGTTTCTTGGGGCCTTCACGGGGCCTGTCCAAGACCTTTTTTTCCACCCCCTGGATAGGTTCGGAGATCGTTGAGACCCAGCTGGGGGTGCGTCCGGCCAGAAGTTCGAGAGTGGACCCAGCCGGGTGGACGAGGAGCTTCCTGAAGGTCCAGAGGGGGCGGAGAGCGCCCAAGAACTCGGAGTCTCATGCTTCGCGCCTCGATCCACCCCGTGTTCCTTCCTCTGCGAAGGTGTGGCACCGGCCAGGGAGGTCGATCCTCATCCCGGACCCTCAGTGGTGGCCACGGGCACCGAAAACGGTTCCTGGAGGGCGACTTCGAGGAGAAGCTTCGGGTGGTCGAATGACCACGCAAATCTGTGAGACATCGGCGGCGACGTCGAAATCTTCTTTCTTGTTGTTCCTCTTTTTTGTTCCTCTTCCTCCTCTTCCTCCTCCTGGTCCTTCTCCTCTTCTTCTTCTTCTTGTCGATCGAGGTAGATGCCCGCGGCAGTTCCCGCCGCCTTTCCAGATATTTTTGTTCGAACAGCTTTTGTTTTTCATAGGTTTCGCTGGGCCCCAGGACTGTCAAAGCCGGACGGACCAGGGGCGAGAAATTGTATCGGCGGACCCGTGGAGATGTTCGGGGAACGAACTTGTGCGGAGTAGCCCGTCGGACTCGGGAGTTTTGTTGTGGTCTGGGGGGGGTCTGGGCCCCTCCCGTTTCGCCGCGACCGGATGCATTTGCGAACACTATTGCGACTGGGTTCCGGGAAGGGTCCGGGGGGGCCCTGGTGAACGATTTCTGAGTGGGGGAAGGAGAAGAATTTTGCTGCACAGTCTTTTTTCTCCCCCCCCCTCGTTTTTCTTGGTTTTCGTCGTCGAAAGGCTGCTTCCGGGTCCCGGGGCCGTTCGGGGGCATTGTGGATCCCCGTCAGGGCCTCTTGGGTGCGTTTGGGCGCCCTTTCATGTTTTTCCGGGACGAAGTGCTCGAATTCTCCATTCGGGTTTTCCTTCTTGCCCTCCTCTGGGGGCCGTCCTGGGGCTCTCCCTGGTGGCTTCGGGGGCCCTGTTGGGGCCCGTTTGTGTCGTCTGGGAGCCTACTTGGGGGCATGCGAGGGCTTTCGGGTTGATTTTTGGGGCTTGTTGGGCTGCTGTGGGACTTCGTGAAAACTTAAGAAGCGAATGTGTTAAACTTAGACGCGTCCCCTTCGGGAACGGGCCGAGGTTGGGTTATGCCTGGCCTCTTGGGACGCGTCCTGGTTGCGTGTTGGGGCGTCCAGGGGGCCTCAGGGGTCAGCTGGAGGCATCGGCGGGCGTCTGGGAGCGATCTCCTCATGAGTCGTAATTCGCGCTCTGGAGCCGTCGGGGGAGCTTTGTGACATTTTTTTTTGACTTTTTTGAGGCCGTCCCGGGGCCGCCCTTGGTCGGTTTGGTGGCTTCTGGTGCCTCTTGGCGCTCATTTGGGCTGTCTTGGAGTCCTTTTGGGAGCTTTTTGGGTCGTATTGGGTCGATCTGGAAGGCTTTTTGGGCTGTTGTGGGTCTCGTGAAAGCCGACGAGGCGAACGTACTGGAAATGTACGTTGCCCATGGAACATACAACGCTTTTTGCTTCTGGAAAGCCTTTTGGGACGTCTCCGGGCGGTTTCTTGGGCCGCCTTGGGGGCTTGTAGGACCGCCGGGAGGCAATCTGGAGCGTCTCGGAGCGACAACTCGTAGCCTTCGTGGGCCGTCCAAGAGGCCTTCGGGGACCCTCTTGGCCCATTTTGGGGCCATCTTGAGGCCGTCCTTTGCGAGGCCCTCTCTGGCCGTCTTGGAGCCTTCGTGGGGGCCTCTTGGATTTATCTTGGGTCGCTCTTGGAGGCTTCTTGGGCCGTTGTGGGCCTCGTGAAAGGCCAAGCGGCGAGCGTATCTAAAATATATGTTCTGTCCGTAGGGAATGGAGTTTTTTTTGTTTCTGGAGAGAGTCTTGGTCCAAGGTGGGTTATTTGGGCGTCTTGGGAGCTTCTGGGGCCGTCTGGAGGCAATCGTCGGCGCTGTGGAACGATCCCTCGTCGACTCGTAGCTTTCTTGCGCCGTTCCAAGAGCCTTTGGGATCTTTTTGGTTCGGTTTGGGGCCCCTTACGGTTCCAAGTGTGCGGCCGGTACCTTTACCCCCCACCCTCTCCCTTCCAAACCGGCCGACCTGGCTCCCGGGGGAGGCGTTTGGGGAGGGGGAAGCATCTCACACGCCGTGGCCCTTGGGGGTCGGCGGACCTCGGGACCGAGTCCGAGCGCAACCGCCTGGTGTGGACAACAATGCAACGCTTGGAGCTCAGGGGAGGAGCAGGAGGAGGACGAGGGCATGGACGCAAACGTGTCCGCAGCTTCAAGGTTGCGAGGAGGAGGAGGAGGAGGAGGAGGAGGAGGAGCAATGCTTTTATTTCAGGGGATGGTCTGTGCATGGCGCCCGTGGAGGCCCTGTCACAGGGTCTTCGTCTTGTGAGGTTTTTCGTTGTTTTCGTGGTCGAAGTGCCGCCTCTGGGTCCCGGGGTCTCCTGGGGGCATTGTGGAACCCCGTATACTATAGGGGCCTCTTGGGTGCCTTGTGGCGCTCTTTCGGGTTTTCGGATGAAGTGCTTGAACTATCCATACGGGTTTCCCCTCGGGCCCTTTTCGTGAGGCCGTCCTGGGGCCTTCCTTGGTGGATTCGGGGGCCCTCTTGGGGCCCTTTTGGGCCGTCTGGGAGAGTCGTTGCCGCACGTCTCCTGCCGCCGCTTATAAGCATTATTACAACACCTTGAACAGTATGTTGACTGATCTACAGCTGTTTGGGATTAGAGATAAAAGCGCGCGCGACAACACATCTTCTCTTTTCCCTACCCGCTTAACGGAAATTCGAACCTCATACTTTGACAGCCGACGCCGTGCACATTGCCGCCATGGTCTGTCGGGGGTCCTCGAGCCCAAGACGCTCCTTGGAGCCACTGCTAGGAGTGCCACATCTACTACCAGAACATCGTGATCATATTGGCCCTGTTGGGCATAAGTCGGGTTAATATCGGTTATGAACCGAAATTGTTGATCCAAGGATGACCGACCATGTTGGTCGTCTTGGGCTCAGAAATCACCCATCCCGCAAGAAAGGATGAACGCGGGAATGGACCTTGGCTCATCAATACCAAGCAATTATGAGTTTCATGTCGAAGGACCGTCATCCTCGACTTCTCAACGCACCCAAGAGAAGGATATGTTAGACGGCGTACCCGTCAACCGCGGTAGACGAGACACGCCTGTGCCCGAGGGCGACTCCGACGAAGAGGACGAGTGGTACGGCAACAAGAGCCGCCCCCGGAACCCCCTCGCGGATAACGTCGCCCAGGCTTACGTGGTCCACTCCAGTTCGTCGGATGAAAAAGGAGTGGAAAAAACTTACAAACGGGAAAGAAACGTTCTCTGCGTCGAGCTCGTCAGAGACGATCGAGACGTCTATGGTCGAAAGGACGCCCGTTAAGGAGACTGCGGGCCATGTCCAAAGTCCGGCTGGGGAGCCAATCTGGGAAGACAGCGAAGAGCAGCCGGAAGCCCCGGGACCATCCGTCCGGGGGGCCCGCGATGGAATCGCTTCTCGGCAAGACCCCCGGAGAAGACCCGGCCGACAGCAAGGTTTCGCCGTGCGGGAAGCGTCCTCAGATCGAGCCTGGTGGGCTAGGCGTCCAAATGCGCGCAGCCCGATCTCGGGAATCCAGGACATGGGAAGGGACACGCTACAGTCACCGACTTCGGTCTCCCAGAGGCCAAGATCGGGAAAGGGCGGCCCGGTTTCCACCCCGAGAAGCTCCAGACCTAGCTCGTCTATTTCGCGATCGTGTACGTCCAGGTATGTCATTCAGGAACCCTGCGCCAACTGGGGGCCGAACTGCGCGGACGGCCCTGAGGGCTGCTGCCCCAGCCGCGCCTTCAACAACGGCCCGTGCAGAAAGCCATTATATCGGGGGTGATCATCCCAATGCTCGCTATGCAACTTAAACGACCTGTGCCCTGACTGCGCCCCCCCGAGGTTGCGCCATTGCTTCGCCCTCAAGGACCGCGAA